TTTACGTTGGGAAATTATGTAAACTAAGCTCTCCTGTTTTATTAGTTAAATTATGAATTGTTCAAATTCTTGACAGGACAAGGGCAAACGCACAGTCCATCAAATGCGACTGATTGGACAAATATGCAGGCTTTGCGAATACTAAACGAAATAAACTTCTCTATCTCATTATATATAATATCACTAGAGCTTCAAGTAGGTACATACAGAGCTATTACAAATAACTTCATTCTACATGCGCATTTCTTAATTTTCTGTTGGTAAAGAATACTTTGATACGAAAATGGTTAAGGTTTTTACTTGACTAATGCATGAAGTAAAGCAAATATTTAAGAAATTTCATTAAGTATACACTATATCTTCAACACTAACGTTCTAAATGGCTACATCCTTATAACCGAAGCACATACTTCAAATTGACCATTTTCTCGATAGAGATATTTCACAAAATTCAAAATTCTTTGCATATGTTAATAAAGTGAGTATAAACGTGACTACAAACTTTACTTACCGCGTAAATAACTCACTTACGAAAAAAAGCTGCAAGAATTTTATATACCAGTCAGGGTTAAAAACAGAATTCTGTGTGTGAGTGGATTAAAAAAAATATCTGTAATAAGTTAATAACTCGTATTATAAATAAATATTTCTTAAGGTATACATAAGGTATAGTTGAATTTCACATCATGTCGTCTGTGATACAGACCAAAGGTGACCCACTGTCGTAAACAATATATACTCGTTTTCATATTAATGTGCATCGAAGTAGTCGTTGAAAGGGATCATTTTAAGGTGGCAACCATGCCAAAATTCAAATAATCCTAAACTCAATCTTCCCTAAAAATTATTTTTTCAAATAAATGTGTATCCCAGTTAGCAAAAAATAATTAAAATTAACAACGTAATTAACATAGGATAGCAAACAAAGATTTTTGTCATTATTGATGTGATTAAATTTGTTCTAAATGACATTAATGGCAAGTGTAAATCGGCCTTTATTAAAGATTCATTTAGACTTCTACAACCTACTTGATGCACATTAATATGAAAAAGAGTATAACCTATCGTACCATAACCACCACGATGCGGAGTGCAAGCCTTTCCATATAAAATTAAGGATAATGCTTTTCACCATGTGGCGTTTTTATTCATGCCTGGCCATCATGCTTACACATAACAAACCTGGATTTGTCGCCAAAGATTATCACAGTTCATTGCTAGTACCAGTGTGGTACTTCTTTGAACCACTGCAGTCAATTTTGACGAGGCTCAGGGGTGAAGAATTAAGCGCTTATTAATAGAAAAAAATTGTTACAACCTCTCATTGTGATACTCATGCATTTATAACACTCCTATCTGTCGCATCACAATAAGAGTGTTTGTAACACTTCTTTTGTAATATACTATTTTAGTGTTTTTCTCTGAAAAGACCAAATTACGCAGTCTCTGTATTCAATGGTAAAAGAAACAGTAATTATTAAAAACGACAATGACATCAGTAAATTTGCAAAAATAGTTGCAAAACTGCTTATAGAGGTAGGTAAACAGTGTTCATGAAGTAATTTTGGACAGATCAGTCTTAAAAGTAGAGTTTGAACAGATGTCTACAAAAAAGTAAAACGTTACTACCGCAGAAGGGGCCATGGAAACCCCAATTTTGTTATGAACGCCTCAAAACATGTTTCTTTTTGACGTTTTGCTGATTTTTATTTTTTTCCGCTTTATCAAGACATTGTGTTGTAATTTAGTGTGGGGAATTACATTATTTTAATAGTGTAGTCGTACCTGTTACACAATTGTTAAATAAACATTGACTGAGAACAATAAGACATTAATTACGAGTTATTTTATGATCTTTTAACAAACTTAGAAGTCCACATACCCATGCTGTGAACATTTTATACTCAATTTTGGGGCTGTTTTTATTTTATCGGATTACGTTTACTTTTTGCATTTCAGATGACTTAAAATTGGTAGGGATCGGGTAGGGAAAAAAACATTTTCAAAAAATCTTACCTACACTCAGATAAAGCGTAATCTTGAAATTCTACTAAGATTAAAAATACATTGTATATGGCAAAATATTGGTTTTCAAGTGGATATGCAAACCCGGAAATATTTAGTTAAGCATAATTTCACAGTACCTACTTAACTCACGGTAGTGCATAAAATACAAATTGAAAATATTTTCTTTGAATTTAATTTTGGGAATCGTTCAGGATCTGTTTCGTTTAAGTTTTTACACCTCTGGGGTGATAAATTGTATCTCGTCTTGCATAATGGAATCGACAAATTATTTCGGTGTGCCGCCAGTCCCTCGATTTATATCCACGATAACGTCTGCAAATTCCGAGAGCAGCAAATGATAACAAGAACTTGTTGCGTAGTCTGTGCGTGACCGGTTTAATTAGGCAAAACGGGGTGAGTTGTCTATGACCCGAGCAAAAGAATGGCTCTCGGCCAGGTCTATTAATTAACAGCCGCTAAGTACGAAGTGATTATTACAAATAATTCACCCGCCTTTTTGCAGATACAATTTAAAGTAGCGTTGCAATGATGGCGGGCAAAAACAGCACTAATAATTTAGATTATACTCCCGAGACCAAAGTATCACACGAGTTCTGATTAATTCAAATGTGCTTTTGTGTTTTTTTCCGTTTGATGGATAGCGGGGGAGAGATGATTCACGACACGCAAAGACGGCGGAGTCACAATAAGAGTCTTATCGGAAAAATAAATAATTAGGGAAGTGCGTTAACAGGTTGCTGATGCTCCTTGGCGAATTTCTCGCTTAGCTAATTACTCAACGAATAATACATGAGTACTGTCTTGTTAAATTCAGAGAAAGCTTTTGAGGTTAACATACATGGTCGGGTAATGGAAATAGATTGTAATGAACAAATCGATTCCAATCCAAGCGAAACAACACTTACTTCATAGCGTCCACCTGGATATTGTACATTTTTGAAAACCTTATTGTTTCATTGATTCTCAATCCTTACAGAGAGTTATTTTCACTGCGAGAGCTTATCCTCGGTTACAATTGCACTTAATCCCTGAAAATACGTATTATCTGAGATTGTCTCTTCCTCGTATCGGGTTAGCAGGCATGCCACCTTAACCAACCCGAATTGGCCGCGATATCCTTATCAGACTTATCTCTAGGGAGTTGTGCGGTTTGACGTCTTCCATGTGAGCCATTTCTAGTGGTCTCCTCTCCGGACCACTGCCTCCGCTTTCACTTCGCATACTCCTTTCTCTCTACTCCACTTCTCTCCAATAAAACCGCAAGGTGGCGGCTTTCCGACCTCCACTCGACTTCGAAAGAACCGTAAATAAAGGCTGGAGAGGAAGTCGAGCAGACCAACGCAAAAACAACAACGAGAATTGATTTAGAAGACACCAGCCAAGAAAAATACGTTTTTGTGAATCTATCAGCAAGTAATGAGACATGGAATTCCGATTTGTGAACCGTAATGCACATAAATTATTTGAATATTTGGTTTGTTAGTATTTGTGCCACAACTGTATTTATCCCGAATAAATGTTTTATTGGTGTTCTTCTGGACATTATTTTTTGTTTTTGCTAATTTTACAAAGAAGAAATTTTGTAAAATGGACGCATTAGACGTAATATTGTTAATAAGAGCAGAGTTAGTTACTGTGGGAGTGCCAAGAGCTGTCCCGAAGTAATTACTCATGTAACCACAAGGGGTGTGAGTGCTTGACACAAGTTCTGCATGTGGCTAATAGGAACACGAAATTCGCGTTACTATTGAAATTTTCTTTATGCGGGTTAGTTCATTATCATGCAGTTTTGTGTATTCCCATTTAACTAGATTTCACCCTTGTCGGCTTGTCACAAAATCTAGCTTTAGAGCCGGATGAAGTTTTATTTGTACGATTTATTTAAACTATTACAGCGAATTAAGTGATTTGCATAAAATGTGAGCTTACTTGAGAGTCGCTAATTTAATCATGATTCGGTTAATGTCTCCCGTTCTACTTGGGCTGCCAAATCTTGCGACTTGGAGCGGTTTTGGTCGAGGTTTGGTCACCTAAAATAATCCGATACAATTTTTAAGTTGGTAACAATTAAACCGGATATCTCTGCATTTTCAGTTAAAAATTTAATGAGAACTGGGCTGTGACAAAACTCTTTTGTGTGACTATTTTCAATACACGGCTGTCACCGATTGATAGTCTCTGATGTTTTGAAATTGTAAACACAAAGGACATTTTGTCAAGAGCATAGTATTGTTTCGAAGTAGTACAGCGGAAAAATAGTCGAAAAGTATGCTCGAATGACTCGAAACACGACTTTCTGCATCAAAAATTGCACTTCTAGATGGTATTTTTTAATGAAATTAGACGCATCCTGCGGCACATTGTGCTGTCGGTTTCGCCATCGTGAAATGCGACTTTGAAACTTCATAAATGCACATAACAACTTAAAATGTTTCCTCTTGGGCAGTTAACTCTCTACATCATTGCCAATAGATATTTTTTTATTGGAAATATGAAAAGTTCTGAACTTAGCCTCCTACTAAGTCATAAAACACACCCCGCTTTTCTCGGCTTTTGTTAGTTTTCATACTGACCCTTACATTTATCCTGGAAAGTTTTCTAGTTCGGACGCCGATTTGCAATATTCGGTATGTGTTTGCTATTTTTCCGCGCAAATATTTGGCGCTCGTTTCCATTTTATTAAATATTTGCATCTGAAATTCAACAACTGAATCTCCAACTAATCCCGAATAATCCCTCTGCGCTGCCTAATTACAACGATTCGCTACATTTATTCCGCGTTTTACAATTTAATGAATACTGCGCGAAAGCCAGACTTCAACAAGTTTGTTATTTACTTGCGAGAATTCGATTGTACACAAATAAACATCACAAAGCGTTCAAAATCGTTGAAAATTTTTCGGGCACGTACTCACGTCCTTTAGTATTCTTCAATCTCTGTGAAGCATTTCTAATTAATTTTCTTGTTACAGTGCGACCTTTAAGGGTGAAGCTCCTCGGCGAAAATAAGGCATTATCCGCTGATAACACTTACGAACTTAGTTGTGAAGTTGTGGGTTCGAGGCCTCAACCCACTATAACTTGGTGGAAAGGAAGCGTACAAATGAAAAATACCAGAGAAACCGTAAGTCCACATACCATAACATGTCGCCATAATTGATTCAAAATCGTACGCAGTGACCGTAAAAATCTTGTTTATATTTATCTCTGACAAACAGGCCGAGATGCTTTTATAAGACGAAGAATTGGGATTTAAATTTCAAGTTGCCGTATAGAGGAAAAATAATGGAAAATATTACTTACTCAGATCAACATTCAGACATACAGGGTGTTTGAGGATTGCGAGCAAATATTTTAACCACTAATAGAACTCGTCAAAAGAAACAACTTCTGTATTTCTAACTTTTGCCGAAAACACGTCATTTTTGAGTTAAAATTAAAAATAAATTGAGACTGAAATCTCGTCCCCGCCTATGTCTTAATACCATGTTATATTCGTTCATGAAACAAAAAATACGGAACGTAAACAGCGTAAAGACAAAAAAATTATCGCTTCATTAGGGTAGACCAGTGTCAATGTTCAATGTTAGTGTTAGTTTACCTGCCGTTATAAAAATTGGTAGAAATGTTGCCCTTGGTTGGCATGCATGCTTCAACTCTTCGGACTAGGGAAGCTTGCGTTTGCACACACAGCCCTTCGACAATATTAATTTGAGCTGCGTACACTAATTCACTAATTGTTTCTTTTTTTATTTTCATTGATATTTTTGCTTCCAACTAACAAAGACACACTGAATGGCTCGTGAAAATCATGGGGGGGAAATTGCAAAAAAAAATATGGATACGGAATTTGTTTGTTCTCAAATTCGACTTTTTATAACAAATTGTCTTATTAGTGGTTAAAATATTTGCATGCAATCCACAAACACCCTGTATAGTATTTCTAATCGACATCGTTTGCTTCGCGTCTAATAACAGAGGGTGACCTTTGATTGTAAAAAGTTCTTTTATTTCCGTTATAAATCATACGAGCTTCTGATATTTTCAGCCATTCATGGAGAAATTCAAATGAAAAAGTTACAATGGGTTGTATGACAGTCGGTAATTAAAAGAGCTCGTGATGCAATAAATAGTACTATTTTTTAATTTGACATGGTGGACACGACTAATAATTTTAGTTATTGTTCTATATTAAAAACCAGCACTTTTGAAGCTTTGTACAGCATGGACCCCTAAACAAATTTTAATAGTTTAATGTTTGTTAACAATACTCCAAATAGAATGTCTTTTGATATGGACATAAAGAGCTACAAACCAGTTCCTGACAGAACTAGAACTTCCTAATTGCTGTTTCTTGTGTTTATAATAATGCTTCAAGAGACTCATATTAGAGTTAACTTGACAATTTACATTTTGTAAAAACTTAATAGACCTACAATAAGCTACTACTTACAATTACTTATTTCTTTGGCTGACACAAACTGAAATTTTAAATTACAATTTAAATGTATAAATTTATGATTAGTGGATTAGCATTGTTTTAAAAGACAAAAACAACTTCAGTTTACAAACATTAATTCACACATATCTGCTTTTTACATCAATTTGAATTATTTTTTTTTGTAAGTATTTTAACACAAAATAAATTTGTATATGCTAACATTAAATTAAATACACTATATTAAATTGATTAATTAATTAAATGTAGCGTGTGCAACTGAATTTGAAAGAGTTCTTAGTTTCCACACTTTGTATAGTTGTAAATAATATCGCTGAGAAAAATTATTAGTGCGAAAATGAAACTTGCTGTATTGTTTTAAATTGCGAATCGAATTCAATTGTTTAATTAGAGGAGAAAAATCCTAGTAGGAATGAATCTTAACCGAACATTCTTATAAATGTTAAGTTTTTTCTAGTGGCTACTCTAGATTTAATGTTATTAAAACATTCAGCACTAGTAACATTAGTGAGTGTAAAGATAATTTCTATTTTTACTACGATTTCTCTCCAATCGAAAAGCGTCTAGTGGTCTTATTGTCCTAGTCGATAATTTCCCGATAAAATCGTATATCAGTGCTTACTCTTAAACAGATTTAACTCAGCTTTGCCCGTACAGTTATGAAATTACCCCGGAAGTAATAAAATATGCTGCCTACTATACGCGAAGTCTACCGAAAGGTGAAATATAACTGTGTTTATTTTCTGGATGTGCTGCAGTAAAATAGCCAAAGCGGCGGCTAGATTCGAGCAAAATACGCAAAATGACCGCAACAATAAATCTTCCAAATATAGAACTCGATACTGGTGCAGTAACTGTGCAATTGAAATCGTTAAATATTCTTATCGGACGTCTAATAGCATCATATAAAAGTAAAACTAGAAAAACATCTATCGCCGTTGCGATCAAAGATGCCGAAACTAATTTATTGCAAACCTAGTTGAGTAAACCGATACAGAAAAATAACCGCAGTGAGTGGAATTATTATTTTACGACCTGTATGTAAATTGCATCGAAAACCCAGATGGACTCGGCTGTGGAATTTTTCATACGAACACTTCAACTTTTATTATGCGAATCTAGAACACGGAGCTCCGAATCGTTATTAATATTGCATTATGAGGGTAATATGAGAATGATAATATTCCCACAATGAACCACTGCGGATATTGCCGGGGGAGTGCCTCTAAGTTCGACTTTATGTCAGGAGGTAATCGTTGTATTAGTAATACTGTCTCACTGATCACTCCCTCTTTATGATCTACACAAATATCGTTTCCGCGACCACAACCTGCAGGTCGTGTTCATGGCTTTCCGGTGGACTCATACACAGGGTTAATTAAAGTTTACTAATTTAGATGGAACTTAAAATTAGAGAGGAATCGCTGGAACCGAATTAATATTGCATATCGGATTTCGTTTAAACTATAAAGCTGGGACCGACAATACATCATTAAACAAATGTCAGTTTAGATGAGCTTTCAGCTAGTAGTAACCATTAAATCATCGTTTTGCATGCACATGACTCGAATTTGCTTTTGTGTTTGCTTATAGAGCTTGTGTGAATTTTCAATATGCAGATTACTCTAAAACGCAGCAGCTATTTTGACTAACGTTGGAGAATTCTTATGTATTACAAAGCAGATTTGTTTTGACTGAATAAGAATTGTTTTCCGCCTTTTATTACTTTGTTAATATTAAACTTGTAGCCTTTATTGTTAGCATGTTGAATGCAGTTGAATATTTTTAAATATTTTTTTTTCTCTTTTTTTGAGTAAAATATGTCAAAAATTAGTTGCAGTACAAAACATAAAATTACAATTTATGACTGAATTTTAACTTTAATCAACACATCATAAATTTTATTTTCATTTGATTTTATAAAATTCAGTATTGGAAAACAAATAAATAAAATATTATTAATGTAACTTTTATTTGTTTATTTTTCTTCTAAAAGCAATGATTTTTTATTAGAAACATATTTCATAATTAAAATGTAGATACGAGATATTATATATCTTTTGCTTTTTAAAACAGATATTTCTGATTGTAACATTGTTTTAACAAATAACTTAGGACTCCACATTCTGTAGCTTGCTCTACTTTTTTTTGTTGTAAACACAAGTCAACTAATTGGTTGCGATTTCAAATTAGAACTAAAAAATTGAGTAATACAAACTAATATAACTAATAAAACTCTGTATAACTGAAATTTTGTTTTTGTTCTTGGGGTCAAATTAAATTAAATTAGAGTCGAAAGGTCGTGATTTCTTATTATGGTTTCATTTCCGTGTTATAGTTATTTTTATCGGCCTTTGTATTTCCTAGAGTAGAGGCAATTTGATAAAATTACTCGCATTTTTTATTTTTGCGACAATGTCCTGGACTTGTTGAATAATGCATGTAATTCTTGCGTGATTACCGTATCGTTTTTTGCATTACGCCTCTGAATAACCTTTTTGCTACCTGAACGAATACAAATGTAATTGTTGTATAGTGGCGTGTGAGTAGTTTGTATTCCGAGAGCGTCGACTAACTTCACTTCGTTTAATCTTTATGGGGTTTTTCGCTTTTATTTCTACCCAGACTAAACGTGATTTGTATGCTGCCAGGTGACTCCCTACGTAATTTATTTGGTTGGGACCAGTGTCGTCGATTTGTCAATATTTTACTCATTTGTGAATGCGCAAATAAAAATTACGTGATTCACTGGCAAGAGGGATCACTCACTCGAACAGCGGCGACGCCATCATCATTAACACACAACACTTTGTAGGAAAACTAAATTGTTTGTTTTTTTATTTATTTACTTGCAATGTAAAATTAATTAAATAAACAGTAGAACAATTTGAAAAATGAAAGCATCATAAGAAAAGAAAGTTTTAATTTTGAGAATTTTCCCGGCGCCTCCACCATTTTTACCTCTCATGTTATTCTTATTTATTTTCGAATTGCTTATTGCAGAGTATATTGACACTGTTTACTCATAAAACACGTTTCTGTATCAACATCTTTCAGTGGAAAATGTAATCAAGTTTTTCAAGGTTAGAAGATGGATCTTCGTTTTCCTGACTACATAGTTAGAACAGTTAGTTTTTGGGAGAAAATCATTCTGGCATCTTGACAAATGCATCCAAAGTTAGCCAGTAACATGATGTAATGTCACAAAAAGAGACACCGCATTACCGCAATTTAAGTAAAATTTATGCGGCATAAACCACATCCAATCAAGCCTAATACATCGCAATTGCCGGGATGCGATGTTTAGTTTGCTAATTCAGTTGCATGTTTACTCCAATCAAGCATTTCGTCAATGTTAAGACCCTAGAAATTTCAAGCGAAGTTTGTAATTGATGCTTCCATGTTAATTTGCAAGTTAATGCTTTTATTTGTTTTGCACTAGATATTGTTTATTTGTTCTGTTTTCATTTAACACACATCTTTGTAGAGAAGCTCATTTATTGGCTTATTAAAAGTTATTTCCCTTTGCGTTAATGAGTTTTCTAAGATGAAAGACAAAGTTGAGAGTATGCTTGATTAAGAAATATTATGCTGCTGCTAATGCACTTACGGAGAGCTGAGGCATCAAAGCCTCATTGCTTCACCGTACAGATAAAAAAACAATG